TCAACAAATATTTAGGAAGTGTCCAACCATTAGCCAGCCACTGTGTTTATGAAGAATAATCAACATGGAGTCCCTATTCTAGGATGCTCCCAGTCTAGTGGGGAAGACAGACATTCAAAGAGCTCTTTGGAGTCAGTGGAACATGCTGTACTAACTAGCAGAGTTCTTTCTCTCCTCAGGAGCTCTGTTCCCTTTGCTGAAATCCTCATGAGGGTCCTCGGCATGGCTTGGCCCACCTCACTTAATACTGCTCAACCAGCCCTAAGTCTCTATCCTATTGCCCTGGTGTACATTCTTTACAGCACATACTACTACATGAAAATATCTGTTTACTTGTTTCTGTCTAAAGCTTATGGTAAACGCCACGAGAGGGATCTTGTCTATCTTATTCAAGTCTGCTTACCCCAAGAATAGAAGAGTGCCTGGCAAATTCATATATTCATTCATTCATTCAACATATATACAAAGCATCTACTAGTGCCAGGCACTGATCTTGGCCCTTGAGGATAGAACAGGGAGCAAAAATTCCCTTCCCTCATGGAGCTTACTTTCAAGCTGAATAATGACAACAGTAAACATTCATTGAGCGCTTTCTATGGATTATTTTATTGAATCCTCACGACAATTCTATGAGATAGGTATGATTATAATCGTTATATTATAGATGAGTAACCAAGGCCAGAGAGGTCAAGGAACATGCCCAAAGCTCAGTAAGTGGCAGGGTTAAGATTTACACCCAGGGAGTCTGGTTCTAGAGTTCTGCATCTTAACTATTCTGCTAGAACGTCTCTTGTTCACATATACATAGTACATGTGCAATAAATATTGTTTAAAAAATTGCTAGAGGGCAGAGGAGCTGAACAGGTATTTTTCCAAAGAAGACATACAGATGGCCAACAGGCACATGAAAAGATGTTCAACATCACTAATTATTAGGGAAATGCAAATCAAAACCACAATGAGCTATCACCTCACACCTGTGTCAGAATGGCTATTATCAGTAGAGGATGTGGAGAAAAGGGAACCTTTGTACACTGTTGGTGGGAATGTATACTGGTGCAACCATTATGGAAAACAGTATGGATATTCCTCAAAAAATTAAGAATAGAACTACCATACGATCCTACTACCCCACTTCTGGCTATTTACCTAAAGAATAAGAAAACACTAATTTGAAAAGCAATACACACCTTACGTTCATCACAGCATTATTTACGACAGCCAAGATATGGAAACAATGTTAAGTGCCCATCCATGCATGAATGGATAAAGATGTGGTGCATATACACAGTGGAATACCACTCAGCCATAAAAAAGGTGAAATCTTGTCATTGGCAACAGCATGGATGGACCTTGAGGGTATTGTGCTAAGTGAAGTAAGTCAGATGGAGAAGGATAAATATTGTATGATTTCCCTCATGTGGAATCTAAAAAAATAAAACCCTAAAATAAATAAACAAAGCAAACAAAAATAAACATGTAGATACAGAGAACACAGCAGTGGTTACCAGAGGGGGTAGGGTGGGGGAGATGGCAAAATGGGTAAAGGGGGTCAACTGTATGGTGACAGATGGAAACGAAATTTTTGGTGGTGAGCACCCTGTTGGGTATACAGAAGTAGAAACATAATATTGTATACGTGAAACTTATCTAATGTTATAAACCAACCTTACGCCAATAAAAAATGTTAAAAAGTAACACCCTCCACCCCCACACAAAATGTATAAACAGAATCAGAACATAAAAAAAAAAGTCTGGGGTCTTCCCTGGTGGCACAGTGGTTGAGAGTCCGCCTGCCGATTCAGGGGACACGGGTTCGTGCCCCAGTCCGGGAAGATCCCACATGCCGCGAAGCGGCTGGGCCCGTGAGCCATGGCCGCTGAGCCTGCGCGTCCGGAGCCTGTGTTCCGCGACGGGGGAGGCCATAACAGTGAGAGGCCCGCGTACCGCAAAAAAAAAAAAAAAAAAAAAAAAAGTCTGGAAGCCTACACAGAGCTGCCAAAGGACAAAGACATCATTATGGGGGGGTGGGGAGGGGAAAGACAAGGGGTTTCACAAAGAAAGTGACACCAGCTGATCCTTGAAGGCTAAGAGTTCAAAGGGTGGAAAGATAAGTGGGGTGTGATTATAAACAACAGCAAAGAGCAAACAATTACGGTGGCCGGACCACAAAGGGGGTTGGACAGAAGGGGCCAAAATAAGAGTTATTGTGAAGTGCTAGGTAGTTTTTTAACTTGCTACTAAAGGTACTAGCAAGGAAGACCCATAAGAGTGAATTCTGATTCCACAAATGAAAATTAATTCTAAGAAGAAGAGGGGATGGGACCCAAAGGAAACAAGGGGTTGCCAAGGAGCTCAGATATAACGGACCATGAACAAAAGGAGTAACCAAGAACCGGAATAAAGGAGCACCATGTGCTCTTCTGTGAGATTTTATTACACATCTTAGTGTCTCTATTAACTTTTTATTAAACTGAATTTTCAAATCTCCTCTTCCAGTTTTGCATGACTTCAGGGACCTCAATAAGATCTAATGGCACTAAATTAATGATAACAGTTTTAGATTTGAGATAATTACGTCACTACCTTTTAGATAGATTTTTTTTTAGAAAGATGGCTTTGCCTCTTATCACAGAGGCACAGAAAACAAGCAGACCAAGGTCTCTCCACAGAAGGTGGGTAAGTGTTGACTTCAGAAAAGAAGGGACTGGGAAAAGATTCAGAGTGTCTTCAGGGCTCCGCGGGAAGCACTCTGGGAGGTAGGTTTGTAACTTGCATGGATACTTTGTTAATCAACAAGACCAGACCTCTTTTGTGCATCCTCAGCTGTGAAGCATCTTAGCACAGTGCTGACACCTGACAGATGCTCAATAAATGCAGGTTAAATGAGACCAATCACCAGAAGGAATGATGCCCCCTCCCTCTCAGCACTTGAGGAAGCATAACTTAAGTTTCTTCCGCGGGTAGAAGAACCCTTTCTAGGCTGGAAGAACCTAGAAAACGCATTTCCTATTCTTTGCAAAGCCCCAATACTAAATGGCACAGAAGTTAATGGCACTCTGATGGGTTTGCTTCTATAATTGTTAAAACACTTCCAGGAGTCAGAAGAAATATATTAGGAGATCTGGCTTTAGCCCCATTTATCTCTGCTGTGGAAAAGTACTCTGGTGGACCTCACATTCTTTTCTGCTCTCCCTGGCATGCTTCTATAAATGGCCCCAGGCACTAGACCCCTTACCTCTAAATTTAGGTTGGGAAGAAAGGTTAATTTATGACAAGGTTTCCAGTTTTAGATGCTATTTCTCTTAACATTTTCCCCAAACATAAAGAAAAACTAGGTCTGTACCCTCCTGAGGTTTGCACTCTGGAAAGATGCTGAGGATCTGGTTTTCATGATAATGAGGTTATATGACTAGTTCTATATGACTATCAGTCTCAATATTTTATAATTGCACTGTGTGAGGGTTTAGAGATGTAAATAGCATGAGAGAAGACGGATAAAACTAGCTACAGGCTAGAATTGACGATAATACTTAAATAATCACCAAGCTATCCTTCTGCTCTGATAAGGCAAGTTCCAGTGATCTGGAAAGACTGGGGAAAAATTCCCCTTGGAATGTGTAAGAAAAATGTCAATATTTGGAATGAATTCTTAAGCTATGCTCATTTCTCTTTTCATGGTATGACTGATAAATTAGACCCAAAGGGCTGCTTCTGTTGGGAAAGTGTGTGATTATTTTGGATTGTGATTTAAGTTTAAGGTGATGATAATATAAATAGTTAACAGTAAGTTGGTTACACTATTTAAGGCTTTCAATAGTGAACTCTGAAATCAGTGGCAGATGACCTATTAGCCATGTGGACTTCTGGGAAAAACTAAAAAAAAAAAAAAAAAAAAAAAAAAAAAATA